GGTTACTGGAGGGCAGGAGGGAGTGTTAGAGTTACTGTAGTATGGCAGGGAAAGGAGAACAGAAGAGGTCAAAAGTCCAGCAGCACTTGTAGTATATAGACCAACTTTATTGTTAGACCAATGAGTTTTGACTTGTGAACACATTAGAAACAATATTTAAACAAGGTAGGGTCCGACCCTGTTTAAATGTTATTTGTAATGTGTTTCATGATGAATCTGATAAAGGCCATGTGAAATGTGTAAAATTCCCAGTGCTGCTGGAGTTTTGGCCTCTTCTGCTCTCCTTTCCCTGCCATACTACAGTAACTCCAACACTCCCTCCTGCCCTCCAGTAACCGCCTGTCATGCCATTCCCATCCGACTTTTTTCCCCCTTCTCCATGCACCTTGGAAATAGGTGAAGTTGTGCCAGAAACCCATACTCTGCTTCTACAGGGAGAAGAGAGCAGACAACAGAAGGGATATAGAAGCAGTACTTTTTATTTTTTAGCATAAATCAAAATTCCATTACAAAAAAAAGCCATCTTTTTACTGCATGGGTTATCTCACACTATAACAATGTGAAATGCTGCAATGACACTGCCAATTAAACTCCACAAAGAGACGGTAAACTGTTTTTTCCAAAATTATTTTTATTTTTTTGCAGCCTAGTTTTGTTTGCACATTGCAGTGTGTGAGAACAGTGTACATCAACAGCACATTCAGAAATATTATTATATATATTTTTGAGTCTTTTCAGCATATTTTATCTTGTTGCTTTTTCAGTATAAACCCACTACAAACTGATAACTTAGTGTGCCCTATATTGTTGTGCAAGGTCATCGTCACAGTCTAATAATGCTTTTATTTTCACTCTTTTTCTCCTGCTGCAGTTCCATGTCCCCATTCAGTATTGACAGCATACGGCGCCCCCGGAGGTCAGAGTCACCAGATTCCAAAAAGAGAAGAATCCACAGATGTGACTTTGAAGGCTGCAATAAGGTGTACACCAAAAGCTCCCATTTAAAAGCACACCGGAGGACGCATACAGGTCAGTAGGTCTGAGTGTGTTTGTTTTATGTTGACTTGTTTGTGTTACCCAGTGCCATGGGCTTGCAAACATGTAATCTAGGTAATATTGTGCCATGGCTGCAAGGAAAACCACTCTGAACAAGGGGGGGGGGGGGTTCAAAATAAAAGCCATGTGAGGATATTCACAATTATCTCGATTACCGCGATTTTTTATTAGCCAGACCTAAATCCAAATAGGCACAAAACCAAAACAAGATGTCAATAAAGAATCCTTAAGGCTGAACTCAAACCTGAGGTTAACTCAGTGGGTAGAGCTGGCGACCCAAGGCTGAGTCCTTGCTGCAGCGACCCAGGGTTTGAATCTGAACTGCGGGCCTTTGCTGCGTGTCATCCCCTCTCTCTGCCCCCTCTCCTGTCTATCTTCAGCTGTCACTATCATCAAGGCAATAAAAGCCCCCAAAAATACTTTAAAAAAAAGAAAAACCAAAAAAACAAATGTATGTTTATTTGTAGGAGTGCTTAAAAAATTACACTCTTAACTTCTAGGATCGTCTATATTATTGGTCGGTCAAACGTCAAACCTAAACTTTTGTATATATATTTATACCTGCAGTACATAACACGTGTACTGAGCAGTTGAACACAATTGACGTCTGTGACGTCTTATATCAGTAGTCTTAAGGCATTATATATGATCGCAATACATTTGAAGGTCAAGCATCTCAGTTTCTTGAGTCATAATAACATACTTATGAACATGATGGGGCTTTCTGTAACCATTATGGAGATGAAGATCGTGGTAGTGACTGCCGTGAAGACTTTCTGATGGCTCATTGTGTGCTTTAAGTAGAAGCTCTAGATAGATGATATTGACACAACCATCACACGGCGTATCACACTGGATACAGCCAAATGGAATATGATCACATGTTGCTGTGTCACATCATGATGACCTGTGCAAGTGTGTGAGCACAAGCAGCACTGTATAGAGAAGCATGCCATTACTTAACTTCAAAACTGTATGTGATTATTTTTTCATATTGAAATTGTCAAATTAACTTTTTACATTTACTACTGTTGTAGTTGACAGGATGTATTATAGCACGTGCCCGTTCTGTTCCATGGTTAACAGGATAGTACTTAGGGGGAAAAAGTCTTCTTTTGTTTACAGTAAATGAGAATGATGAAACAATGTTGCCACTACACCAGACAGCGCACACTTGTTTGTTGTCCGGCATCATCACCACAGGCTGCAGTTGTGAATTCGTTTTTTCTCAGATGTTTAAACATATAGCTAACCATTTTGAGTCAGCATTCATTTTTGTGAAAGTACCATTATTATTATGAGGTAACAAGTGCAGACTTTTGGGGCGCTCGGATGGTTCAGTCATGCTGCAGCAGCTATGGGTTCGAGTCTGACCGGTTGCCCTTTGCTATATGTCATCCCCTCTCTCTCTCTAC